TTGCACTTTGAAAACCCTCCTGACCAGCCATTTTTGGTTATTATTTTTACAATGAAGGTTCTTAGGGAGTGGGCTGGGTGGTACACGAGGAGATGGTCCTTCATTGTATTCTGTGCTAAAGCAGTTCTGAGCTTTGAAGGTAATCTCTGCCAATTGGAATTAAGCCCAAAAACAAATTGCAAAGGCAGTTGTTTGTTGTTTTTTTTCTGTTTCTTGTATTTAGAGGTGTACAGCCTCATAACAACAAGTAGAAATTCAGCAACTTGACTCCTTTCCATCTCTGTATTTTGATGATAGGGAAAGCAAGAGCTACTCAATCCCTGCAAGCCACATAACACTAAAGGCACAGCTCTATACGCTTGAAGCTACACTGCTTAATTTTAAAAACATTCAGTCAATAATAAGGCTATCACTTATAACAGTGTTTCTCAACCTGGGGGTCGGGACCCCTGGGGGGATCGCGAAGGTGTGTCAGAGGGGTCGCCAAAGACCATCAGAAAACACAGTATTTTCTGTTGGTCATGGGGGTTCTGTGTGGGAACTTTAGCCCAGTTCTATCATTGGTGGGGTTCAGAACGCTCCTTGATTGTAGGTGAACTATAAATCCCAGAAAGTACAACTCCCAAATGTCAAAGTCTATTTTCCCCAAACTCCATCAGTTTTCACATTTGGGCATATTGAGTATCCGTGCCAAGTTTGGTCCAGATCCATCATTGTTTGAGCCCACAGTGCTCTCTGCATGTAGGCGAACTACAACTCCCAAACTAAAGGTCAATGGCCACCAAACCTTCCACTATTTTCTGTTTTTCATGGGAGTTCTGTGTGCCAACTTTGGTTCAATTCCATTGTTGGTGGGGTTCAGAATGCTCTTTGTTTGCAGGTTAACTGTAAATCCCAGCAACTACAACTCCCAAATGGCAAAATCAATCCCCCCGCCAACCCCACCAGTAGTCAAATTTGGGCATACCGGGTATTTGTGCCAAATTTGCTCCAGTGAATGAAAGTACATCCTGCAGATCATTATTTACATGGTGATTCATAATGTTAGGGTTATGGTTGGGGGTCACCACAACATGAGGAACTGCATTAGGAAGGTTGAGAACCACTGGCTTATAAAATTTATTCCGTTTCTCACAGATGTGATATAATTTCCATCATCTCTTCTTTGGGTGAATTTCTCCTCCTCTATGTTTCTATCTTAGAACCCCTGATAGAGCCTGTGCTGGAAAAATATGGATTTCCTAATGCTGGAACTCAGGTCAGATATTACACCAATCATGCACTGTCTTATGATCAGGCGAAACGGATACCTAGATGGGTGATTGAACACGTTTCCAAGCATAAGACCTTGGGTAAGTAAACTTTGCATGCATCTGTTACACTATTGTGATTAATTTATTTGCAGGTTGACGGTGGTAGACCTATTTAGGGCAGACAGGTGCAAAAGAGGACAGGACTCCTTAACCTTGCCCTTGTCTTCTCCCAGTGTTTACCAGGTGATGGGAGCCATGTTGACCTCATTTATTTATTTGTCGTGTCAGAGCAACCAGTCAATTATATTACATTTCTAACAGAACAAAGCAAAGAAACAGACAAAATACAAAACTTGTGAGTTTGGTAGTTGG